TGTAGGGAATAGAAGTTGTGGATGGCCAACACAGCTGCTGACACATGGACCAGGGTCATGGCTGTGGGAAGGAGGGAGATGGGATAGGGAAGGGCAGTGACATTAATGTCACTCTCTAGTTCTCATTATTTCAGCTGATCCTCATTGCCATCCTGTGAAGTGGCAGTTATTAGCATCATCTTGCCCATTTTACAGGTAAGGAAGCAACTGAGAGGCCCAGTGACTAATCCGGGTCACCCATCTGCCAATGTCAAAGTTAGACTCCTGAGCTGAAGTTGTCTCTGCTACGGCTTTGGGAAGGGGATGAAGTCAGAAAAACACCTTTCCTTTCTGGCCTCCTGCTCACTCTGATCGGCCTTTCTACCAAGCCCAGACCCTCCCACAGTGGTCCTCACTCACCGCTGCTGGTTTGCTGGGGAGTAGGATCCAGAACCTGCCACCCATTGTATCCTGGCGGGAGATCTTTCCGAATCATCCAGCACTCATTCCAGACATGGAAATTCCTACAGAAAGGAGCAAAGAGACAAGGACTCACATGTTCAGAGGATTTGCCAGGTATGAGATTCTATACCGAGTGCTTTATATCATTGTTTCTTCTGGGTTTTTTTTACATTTTATTTGGAAGTAATTTCAAGCTTACAGTAGAGTTCAAGAATAATACAAAGAATACCCACATACCCAATTTATCTATTGTTAATATTTTGTCCTATTTGCTTTATCATTGCCTTTTTTTCAGTATGGATATGGAGATTTTATATATACATGTATAAATATAAGTTTTGTGCATATTTTCTAGAAATAAGGATGTATCCTTACATAATCTTATACAGTTATCAGTCTCATACATTTAATGTTAATATGATAATTTTATCTAATTTACTGTTTATATTTTTAATTTTGTCAGTTGATCTAATAATGTCCTTTATAGCATTCTTTTCCACCCAGTCCAGAATCACACAGTCCAGGATTTCCTCATGTTTAGACTCAGGTTATACATTCACAGACAGCATTCTACATGAGTGATACATCCTTCTCAGTTACTCCACCGCTCCTTGAATCTGGGAAGTTTCAGCCCTCTAGATACTCAGAGAGAGTGGAGGCTCCAAGAACAGCAGCTAGTTCTCATGCAACTCAAAAGTCTTACCTGGAAACTGGCTGGAAAAGGAAAAACAGGAAATCAGATTTGGAGTAGAACAGAGGAGAAAGGAACCAGGGGAAGAGACTAGAGATACAAAAATAAAGGAGTGCATGGAGACACACACACACACACACACACACACACACTCATGCATGCACACAGAAAGGGAGTATGTATGTATGTGCAGGGAGAGGAAGATGTTGAAAGAGACTGAAGGAAGTATGCAAAGGCAGCTAGTTAAGGCTTTTTTCCCTGACAAGGGAAACAGAGAACGGTGCAAACAAAAAGGCCCAAAGAAGGAAAAGTAAGATGAATACAGATTTGGAGGTCAGTATTCAGAGAATACACAATCTATTTATTTGATTGCTAGCTTCAGAATGTTATCCTGTAGTCTTGTCTCTGAAAAGAGTTTGATGTGATGATCTAATTATCCAGAATGATCTCCTGGGGACTTACTCTCTGAGCATCAGCAACAAGATATAGGGCAATACTGCCTCATAGCTAGAGAGAATTAGGTCAGAGTGTTCCTACCCTACTTGGGATAGAGCAGATATCAGTTCGAGATAGTGCCCCTTACCATATTTTATCTTGTTTCCAAGTTGACAGAACCTCTGCATTTTGGTCGTAGTAGGTATCGATGGTCAAGTTCCCATCTGCGCTGTGTGCAGAACGGAAATTGGAAACAACACGGCTTGGAACACCTAAGCATCTCATTACTAAAGTGAAGAAAAAGCATGGAGAATCACCAAATTCATTTCAAGCAGAATCATTTGTTTCCCAGGCATACTTTCTAACTTTCTAGCCGGACAAGAGAAAGAAGGCCAAGATTCTTGCAGATCCATTCCTGTAACTCCTTTATCCTCAGAGTACCTCACCCAGGCCCAGAACCCCGCTGCCTACCTGCCCTATTGAAGGTCTCCATCTCACCAGAAAAAAAACCATTTGAGGGTAACTAAAAAAAACAATAAACAACAACTGAGTTCATCATTTAGAACTTTTTTCCATTCAGCAGCTTTCAAAATTAAAAATAGAAAATCTGAAACATTTGATAATGCAAAAGAAAATTAAAAACAACTTTAGGCCTATGGTGAGAAGCCGCGCGGCCTTAGGTAAGTGGCTTAATTTCTCTGGGCCTTTGTCTCCTTGTATATACAAAATAAGGAGCTGGACCAGATGATTTTAAGTTCTGAAATTCAGGTTCTGTAATTCTACTGAAAGACAGGGTTTGGAGGAGGTAGAAGAAATCAGAATGGATAGAAGATGAGCAATGTGAGCAAGAGAGATTTATAGAGATAAATGGAAGACATCAGAGACAAAGGGAACCTTTGACCATCTTTGGTAAGACAACAGCACCCTCTTGTGGCTCTCAAGATGGTACTACAAAGGCTTTTTAAAGCTGAGTTAAGATTTCATAGATGGAGTCATAAAAAACAGACAGTAGTATACCACCACACACACACCTGCCCGGAGGCAGATGAAATCAAGCCAAGAATCAAATGTGACCTTTAGAACACAGGTCCCCACCTATGCCAGCAAGGCAGGAATTTTAGAGAGAGGTTTATCCTACCCCTTTCCTGCTCAGGAGGAGAAAATGGTGCCTATCTACTACCTAGGTGGCTGGGAGGATTACAATGCTTTCAAACATAAAAGGAATCTTGAGATCAACCAATCTTTCTGTTTCAATTCATTCGAGAGCCCCAAAGAGTACCATCTGTCCACAACCACTTCTCTACTCCCAGCACAGGCCCTGGGCTTTTTACAAACGCTTTGTAAGGGTGAGAGCTAGACTAGGGTTGCAAAGTAGAAGCAGCTTGACAGGAACAGCTCTGCCCTTCCTTGTTCAGTGGTCCCAGAACTCTATGGCCTGGGACTGAGGAGAAACTTGGAGATGCAGCAAGGATGTAGGCTTAGACTTTCTCCCTCTCATTCTACCAAGCCCGACCCCTCCTCCATAACGCCTGCTTAGCCAGGGACTTTCCATGGAAAATTTGACTATACTAAATACTGGTGCTGTGCTGAGCATTTTCCAGTGAAAACATAGAAGCAACATGAGGTCACTTGATTTTAACACAGATTTAAACCTCTTCTTTGTCAATAGCACTTCTACGTAACTGCAAAGCTATGCTGCCCCTCTCAGAATTTTAACACAGATTTAAACCTCTTCTTTGTCAATAGTAAAGCTATGCTGCCCCTCTCAGAGAAATCTAGAACTTTGTCCTCTGTCTCTGTCCTCCCTGTTCTGTGTTTTCTCATTCTCCAACTCAGAGTCAACCCATGAGTTCAGACAATACTGATCCAGGACCACAGTGTAACAGGCAGCACTGTGTGAGGTCCCCTCTGTCTTGCACAGGGGGAGGCAGGCAGGCAACTCAGTACTCTCCATCTTTCCCTTATCTTTACAGATAATCTGATCAATGACTTTGAACTAAATTGTAAGTAACTTATAATGCCTAAAACCTTGATCTACCTGGTCCTTCAAAGCCCATCAGCTCCATGGGCTAGGAGTAGGTAGCAAGGTAGCAAATCTCTACTTGTAACTCCTCAAGAATCTCTCTGAGAAGTATTTGGGAGCGTCCAGCTCTGCTTACGGGTGAGATCAGCTCTCCCAGACAGCCTGCTTGCACCTCAAACTTCTCCGCACCTGTCCCAGACTCCAGGCTCACCTTAAGTTTAGAAACCTGAGCAGATGGCAAAAAGAAGCCAAATTTGCCTCTACTTTGGGACCACAAGCTCCTCTATCCAGGTGACCATTTTAACAGTCTAACCGCTCCATCAGGGAAATTGTGGAGTGACTGTAACAGGTCAACCTCCCTCCTGGGTAGATGTACAGGATTCCTCAAGACTACAGATCATATTGGTTAAGAGCCCAGTGCCCACCACTCATTAGCTGTGGGACTATGGGCAAACCACAGTTAACTCATGTGAAAATTGAGGTATCAGAGCTCAACCTCAAGGGTTAGCATGAAGATTAAATGAGTAAGATTCCGCATCTCCGTCTCCCCTCACTCACCGGTGCACATAACAGCTGCGAAGACCCAGCACTGTCCATACTTCACAGGCTGCCCGCCCTTGGCTGACCACTGCCGCAAGATGGCCACGCTGCCATTCCACTCCAGTGGGCTGACCCCCAGGGAGTAGTCCTCTCCCCAGTTCCCCTGCAGCACGCCATTGTCATCGTTGCTGTTGATCTGCAGAGGACGGCTGGGTGGGTTTCCACATTCCCTGGGGGGAGGTCAGACGGTCCTCCGACAGGAGTGGGGAAGCTTCTGTCCTTACCATGGCACTCACCACCCTGCAGACATACACCGCATCATTCCTCTGGGAGCAGTCTTTGGACGGGTTCTCCAAGAAGTATAGGCTCTTGTTGAGGATCTCGAAGCAGATGTCTATGATGTCCTCTTCAAACTTCCAGGTGAGGGCAAGAGAGAAAAAAGAGAAGCATAAAAATATCTAGAATTCTGAAACCTCAAGTTTGTAATATAGACTTTTAGTGAAGGTGTGTTTGGGAGTAGGGGGGAGCTAAATATTAGACAAGAACCAGCCTTTGAAGAGCTTACAAATCAAATTGGGAATGTATTAAATTCAAAATTCTAAAAAACTGACCTATGTGCCTCTGATGAAAAACGCAAACAGAATTCAGAGAGATGAAAGATCCTTGTTGACTGAAAAGATCCGAGAAGACCGTTGGAGCTGATGGGCTTTGAAGGACCAGGTAGATAGAAAGAGAGGAAGGTGGGGGCATTCGCCTGAGGTCTTTGAGCATGGCGGGTACCAAGGACAGGGGCTTAGAGAGTCTCATTTCTGGAGGGCTGTGGGAAAAGATCAGATGGATTGATAGAGGGCCAGGCAAGTGAGGAGAGGGAGAAGAGAGTGGAAGGTCTTAAACTAGGTAGAGGATTTAGTACTGATGCTGTCAGCACAGGAGAAGCCAGTGTAGGCTCATGACATTCATTTACAATATATATTTGTGATATGTTGCAATTCTTTGGACTGACAAATGCACTGGTATTTGTCTCCGTTTCAAAAAACTACACAAGTTGCCACAGTTGGAAAACAGGGAAACTGAGCTTCCTCAGCAAGTCTTCCTGCCTCCCCTGATACCCGGTGTGTGGACAGGGCTAAGAAGCCAGTGCAGCGGGAGAGAGAAACTATACCAGCCATGGCTGTGGCTGAGAGTGTAAGAGTTGCCCATAGCCAGAGGTCCCACTCCCTGTACACCGACTGGATATTTAATGTCATTAAAGAATTGCTATTTGTTTTTCAGTTTTGATAATGTATTGTGGTACAGTTTGCAGAAAGTCATCTTTTAGAGCTATATTCTAAAGTATTACGGGCTTAAATGATATGGCATTTGTAATGTGTTTCAAAAGAATCCAGTAGCGGTAGAGGAGTATAGACCAGGGATCAGCAAACTTTTTCTGTAAAAGACTAGATAATAAATATTTTAGGCTTTGTGGGCCAGAGGGATTCTGTTTCAACTACTCGACTCTGCCACGGTAGCACAAAAGCAGCTGCGGATGATACCTAAACAAATGAACATGGCTATACTCCCCAAAAATGATATTAATGGACACTAAGGTTTGAACTTCATATAATTTGCACATCACAAAATATTATTAAATTTTTTTTCAACAACTTAAAAAATATGAAAACCATTCTTAGCTCGTAGGCCGTGCCAAAACAGGCAGTGGGCCTCATTTGTCGCATGGTCTATAGATTGTAAACCCCTGGTATAGATAAAACAGATAGATTCAACAGAAATTGATCACTACTGAAGCTGAGAGACAAGTTCATGGAGGTTCGTTATAGTAGCCTGTCTACTTGGATTATGTTTTAAGTTTTTCATAATAAAATATTAAAAACTGAAAAGGAAAGGCATCTCCTTTTCTTCCTTGCCCCTTTCACTGGACGGAAAATTGGCCCAGCACTGCACACTCTGACTTTTTTTTAGCAGTCCTTTGTGAGCCCATCGTCCTGTGATAACCTTACCTGCCCATAGTTCCAGGGTGAGGAGGTGATGAATCTTTCATGACCCTTGTACACAAAGCCATAGTCCAACATAACGTACTCCTGCAGCAGCGTTTCACTGGGCAGGTAGACATCATCCTCTGAGTGGTTGAGAGCAGTGGAGGGGGTAAAACACCAAACCAAAAAAACAGAGTAATAAAATTAAAAAACAGTAATGAAAGTATCCTGCTGGAAAATAGGAGAAGTAATGGGTCGATGGCAATAGAAAATCAAGAGTGGAACCTCTTAGAAGTCTATGTGCTTTCCTAGAGGCCAGAGATAGAATCTGTACTTAAAAGAAAACAATGATTCTGTTTTTCTGATTGTAAAAGTGGCAAGCTTGTTGTAGGACTTGGAAAATGCAGATGACAAAAAGAAGACAATGAAAATCACTCATTCCCACTACTCAGAGGCACCCTCCATTACATTTTGGGGTATTCTTTTTGTACATACATGTAATACAATTACAGATCACATTGTGTTCCTGCTCTTAATCTATTTCACTTAACATCGCACCATGAACATTTTCATCATTCTTTGTAAAGATAATTTTTAGCGAGCACATAGAAATGTAGCGCATAGATATGCAACGTTTTATCTTCTGGGCTTTCTAACTAGAACCTCACAAAGCGTTTCCAGGGGATCAGGTTAACATTACCACTGGTGAGCAAATCGTACCTGCACTCCAAGGGTTAAAAAGCAGGATGAAAGTCCCCAGGGGGTGAGTCACGATGTGATCCTGCCTCTGAGAGATGTCTATCTTCAGGGTGTAGGAGCCGATGACTGCATCGGCTGGTGTGAAAAGGGAGACCAGGAGCGAGTTGGAGTCAACGGTGAAATCAGAGGCACTCCACACATTCCCTCGTCGGGCCTGGGTGAGTGGGAAGGTAGCTCGGGTTCCCAGCAGCTCCATGGGTGCCGGTCCTGTGTAGGAGAGAGTGACCCCAATGTGAGGCCCAAATCTATGTGACATGATTCCGGGGGGAGGGGCGGGCAGGAAAGACCTACACCTTCTCCCATCATTTACTAATCCTTTTGGTTTAAGGCTTTTACTGCTACTGGGTGTCCTTGGGCAAACCACTTAAGATCTCTGGGCTTTAGTTTTGTTATCTGTAAAATGGGATCTTAGTAGGATGCACCTGAAAGTCTTGTCACAGGATTTAGTGTGTGGAGTTTAGTACATTGTATATTTAAAGGTTGGTTATTACCACAATTTCAGTTTGCTGAGTTGGCCAAATCTGTTCTTAACAGCACTAACAGGGTGCTGAACACTAATAGGGTCCTGAGGTCCCAAGAGAAGAGAGGGAGGGCAGATCAGAAAAGAGAGACAGGGGCCCTACAGGTGAGCTTTGCCTTGGGGTGGGGCAAACTCACCAGTCTCAGCCACGAAGGTGATGTGGTCTGTCCTGGAGTGGAGGGGTCGGTTGAAATGCAGTTGGAGCATGAAAGGCTGGCCTCGGCGCACGATGAGCCGCTTCAGGCCCATCTCCTTGGTATGATGCTCCTTGTTGTTCCTGGAGATCTGCAGGTCAATGGACCTGAGCTCCAAGGCCACCACTAGGGAAGAGGAGGAGACAGGTCACTGTTCAGCTGTGGCTCCCTGGGCTCAGCATCCCCTGACACTTCTCAACCATTTCTTTGGGACCTGGCTTTGACTTAGTAAGATTTCTGTCCAGATCTTAGCCCTCTGCCACCTGCTCCCTGGTTTCAGGACCCAGCCTGAGAGGGCCATTCAGCAGGTCCTGGCCCAAAAGTGGAAGGACAGTGATCTCGGTGACCTCTATAACTGAACCCAGAGCCAAAGTGCTTAAAAATTAGGGTCCCAGAAAGCTAATGATTTCTAGACAACTGAAACTTAACCCTTGAAATGCCACCACATACTCTTAACTACTTCTGTTGACAATCTTTCTAAAAATCACTTTATTATCCTTCTGAGTAAAGAAAGAGCAAATTAGAATTTTGTATGAATTAAGTCAGTGAGCTGACTGGAGTCTGGGATCTCAGCTACAAGCAAGTCCCTGCTTTAGGATACTGGGCATGTGGGAGCCTTGGGGTTACTTGTAGCTTATTTCTTGCTTCTCAGCCATGTTCTGGGTATATGATGGCACTGACTGCTTCCTGGGGTGCTACTGTGTGGGTATACCTAGTATATAGTTTAAAAACTCTCATAGCACAGTGGGCAAGAGGGGAAGCTCTTACTGACTCAACTGTGAGACTTTGAGTGAGTTACTTAATGACCCTAGACATCAGTGTGTTCTTGGCTGAAATATGGAGACAATGATATTCTTACCTCATAGGGTTCACATGGGCATTAAGTGAGAATTCACATGTAAAACCTTAGCATAGAGGCAAGTACAAAGTAAGCACTTGGATCATTAGTTGATATTAGTATTAGTAATATGCAGCCTCAGATTGCATTTGCTTTGCTATTTGTGCTGGTGATTTTTATTGCATTTCTAGCAACAAAAATCCTCAGATCTTTTCCTCTTCTAGTATATTAATTTATCTCAGTGGTTCTCAACTGGGGAAATTTTGTCCCTTGGAGGACATTTGGCAATGTCTGGAGATATTTTTGGTGTCAAAAATTGAGGAGAGGCTGCACCTGGCATCTAGTGGGTAGAGGGTGCAGATGCTGCCAGACAGCCTCATAGAGGAAAAACTTGAGTTTGTTTCCAGTCATGATGTAAACCATGGATCATAGTCAAAAAGTTTGAAAGCAACTGGCCGAGATCCTGTTGGAAACTGGTCGCATCTCATTTATTCCTGAGGGTCCTGACATTTTCATACCAGGACCCACTGAGCCTTCCCAGAAAGCCTCCCCACCCCATACGTAACGCCCAGTGGCCATTCCACCCTGAAACATCAGGTACCCAAAACAGGCAGTGAAGAGCACACAAGAGCACTTACATCACTTCCACAGAAAGGAGTAGGACTGGGGACAGCCTTTACCTGGCTGCTGTTCACTGCTCAAAGCCTAAGGGCAGCCAACTCAATTTTCCCTTCACCCAGGCTGACTCTTGGTTTGGGAGGGAAAGGGGAGGAGGAAGAAGGAAGCTGCCTTCCTCTTCATGCCTGGACAGGTTGCGGTACATGGAGAAAACTTATTCTCCATTGGAGGCTCAGAGATGTTTGCTGAATGGATATGTGCGTACATGCACGAAGGACAAGAGAATGATCTGACAGGAGGGTGGTGGGGCTGAAGGAGAGGAGAGGGAGAAAAGCCTGTGAGGGCAGCAGGGCCGAGATGGTGCTGTGGCTTCGGCAGTAATGGGCACAGCTATCTCTGATGGAAGAATAAAATGTTACACCTTTCTGAGGGCATTTTATTAATATTTATTACAAAATTAAAGAAAGTTTTAAAACATAAATGCCTGTGAGCCATAAATTCCTCTTCCAGGAAAAAAAAATAATAATAAAAAATTATAATCTTAAAAAAATCATAATCTGTGTACAAAAAAGTAAGCATAAGAATGTTCGGTGAAACACAAATATCCTACAATAACAGCTGGATACATAAACTTTATTCCTCTCATCTCAATGTAACCAGTGAAAAAGACAAAGAGTATGGGGAAATAATTCATAAGATATTAAGAGGCAATATAAAAAGACAAAATAACATATGTTACAGATTCTCTTTATATGAAAGTTATGGGACATTTTTCTTTTCTTTGAGATTTTTTTGGGGGGGGGGTGGTTCCAAGCTTTTGCTTTAAGCATGTATTCTTTTTGTGTTTAGGGAAAAGTGTTACTTTGATTAAAGGCAGGTTTTTGAATAGGAGTGGCATGTAGTTCTGGATCAATCCAGCTGTGGTATATAACCCAGACTGGAGGAAAAAAAGACTAGTGTGAGAAGGGCTGTGAGAACTCTGTCACAATAATCTTGGGCAAAGGCTAATGAGGACCTAAATAAAGGCGTCGGTAAGAGAAAAGGAGGAACTACTCTACGTATGCAAGGGACTGGCGTCCATGGCCATGTGGCAGGCTAATAAACACTGGTTGAAGTACCTTAACTTCCAGGGCTTCCTAAGGCCCCAGCTAGTTTGTATGAAGACTGGGGCAAGTTAAAAGAATCCACTGCAAACATGTTTTAGGCAATCAGGCCACTGGTGAAGGACTGGAAAGCTCTAGGTGAGGATGGCAAAGGGTAAGTTATACCCAGCACAGACAGCAGAGAGAGTTGGCACCTGCCACCAAATGGCCCCAGGACTTGGCGCCTTCCCTTCTCTTGCCTCTGTCCCTGGTTAGTCCAGCTTCTTGGTCAATGTCTTTTCTTTTTTCATTCCTCATTATTGTCAGTTTGGGACTTTAACAAATACTTTATTCTTTTTCATTTCTTCCCTTTTAAAAAATGTGGAAGGATCATCTGTGTGAAACCATAGAAAGATTTCTATGTGATGAGATTATGCAGTGTTTCTGCGCCTCTTTAAATGTCTGATCTCAGAAGCTAAGCAGGGTCGGGCCTGGTTAGTATTTGGATGGGAGACCACCTAGGAAGACAAGGTGCTGTAGATGTAAGAAATTAAAAAAAAATAAGGGATTGTAAACTGACAAGTTCCTTGCAATCTGCGAGGTCAACCAAGGGTTACCTTGCCTAAAAAAAATAAAAAAATAATAATAAAATAAATGTGCAAGAGTAAAAGTGTCTTATTATCTAAAGGTTCAAGTCCAAATTCCTTAGTCAAACATTCAAAGTCCTCCACACTGTGGTCCCAACATATCTAGCCAATCTTATCTCCCAACAGCCATAAATAAATTCTGCTTCACTCGTGTTGTGGCCTCTAAATAGATTACTCAACTCTACCTCTGGATGGTCCCTGACTTTCCCCCATCTCTAAGTGTCCCCATTATAACCATTTTTCAAGCAAAACTCAGCATCTACCTCCTCTGTGAAATCCTTCCCAAACATTTCAGAACATGTAGTGTTATTAAGCTCCAGGCTTTATGTGCATTATTTCCTATCCCTACAAATACTCAACAATATATTAACTCCAGATTACAGAAAAGCAGAGAGAGGTTCAGTGAGGTCAAGTAACTTTCCCAGTGTCACCTACCTAGTAAGTGGCAACATTGTCATTTAAATCTAGACAGTTTGACTCTAGAACCTAGCTATTAACCTCTGGCCTACGCTGCTGCTCTGGAGTTCCCCACTCCCACATTCCTTTTTTTTTTTTCCCCCAAGTAAATGAATATTATGCTTTATTCAAATAAAAACATAATGAACAGACCTAAGAGGAGCTACTCAGGTGGAAACACTGGAGCAGGGTCCCCTTGTAAGGCCTTAGGGTTCTAAAGAAAATGAAAACCACAGCCCTGTCTCAACCTCCTCATTTTAAAATGCCAACTGGCCAGGGCAGAACCAGCTCCAGGACCTGCCTGGTCTCTCTCCTGATCTGCGATTTCTTATACTCTGAACGACTTATTTGTGAGCTAACCATGTATTGCTTTGTTTCTTTGAATCATTATTATCATTTAATGGTGTCTACATGATTAACTATATTGTTTGATTGTTTACATCCAGTACTCAGCTAGCTGCTGGCAGGAGAAAAATGTTCCCCGTTGGCTATATAAGTTAAATCATTAGATCTTTTGCAGCAAATATAGCATAAGATTAACATGCACAATATATTAAAATTTCTATAAATATTTTAGTCTTGCTATAATCAGATAAACAAAAACAATAATGAGATCTCATATTTGATTTGTTCAGAAATGTTAAAAAGAATACCAATAATCTATTTTGTGAGAGTAGGTTATGGAAATGGACTTTCTCATATATTGATGGCAGAGTGTAAATTCATACAGACTTCTTAGAGAAATTGGATAATACTGAAGGGTAAGAGAATATGCTATCCCAAATATGCCACTTTGGCATAAAGATTATTTTGAGCTGAAGGCAATTGAGAAGAAACAGATAAAAGAAAAACTCTCTGCCCCTCTCCCCACCGTTTGCCTAAAAGCAGGATATAAATTTGTAAAGGTGTCCTCCCTCTCCTCTCTACAAGGAAAGACAGAGTTAATAACCAGAGGCAGCTCTAGACCCTCAGCAGCCCAGAGAAGCACAGAGGAATCTACATAATAAACTATTAATAGCGTTTATCTTCCATTAGTTCCTCCGTACATTTACTATCTTACAATTTGCTACCCTAGAAACTCAAAGTGCTTTTCCTTTGTCTTTTGTTTCTCTACATATTCATTGTTCATTTGTTAAGATGCTATATAAGGCCAAGTTCTAACTACTCCTTTGAGTTACTCATCACTGTGTGTTCTCATATGTATGTGCAATGCACGTGTTAATAAACCTCTATTTGTCTTTCTCTTGTTAGTTTTTGTCTAATTTAAAAGTCCCCAGGAACCTAATTGGTAGAGAGAAAACCAGTTAAGTTTTCCTTCCCCCACAATATCCATTAAAAAAAAGTGGATGTTGTCTTTGATCCAATAGTTCTTCTTTTAGAAATCTTTCATATGAAAAATATTTACACACACATGCAAAGTTATATCTGTTAATAAGGATGTTAATTGCAGCATTGTTTATAAGAGGAAAATATTGGAAACAATCT